TATATATATATATGTGTGTGTGTGTGTGTGTGTGTGTGTGTGTGTGTGTGTGTGTATATATATATATATATATAGACATACATATGTATAATGTATATATATTATATATATCCATATATATATCTATTAACTATCTATTCATTAATTAGTTACCTACCTACTAAGTAGTTACATACCTATTAAGTAGTGCGTTGTATCGATGTTGGTCACCCAGTCGCGCATAGCCTCGTTGATCGCATCCTTTAGTGTCCTTGAGCCAGATTGCACTGACAGAACACAGGGTTGAAAATCGGATTAGCATACATGTTTGTATGTGTGCTAGTGTGTTTGTATGTGCGCTAGTGTGCTTGTATGTGTGGAAAAGTTTTGTTATGATTGCATGTGTGTGAAAGTGTTTTTATGTGTGCTAGTGTGTTTGTTTGTGTGTGAGTGTGTTTGGTGTGTAAGTGCTTTTGTATGTGTATATATGTACGTAAGTGTGTTTGTATGTGTATAAAAGTGTTTTCATGTGTGCTAGTGCGTTCGTATGTGTATATGTGTGTTTGTATCTGTATATGTGTGTTTGTTGTGTAAGTGTGTATGTATGTGTATACATGTACGTAAGTGTGTTTGTATATGTGTAAAAGTGATTTTATGTGTGCTAGTGTGTTTGTATGTGTGTGAGTGTGCTTGGTGTGTAAGTGTGTTTATATGGAAATATATGTATGAATGTGTGCTTGTGTGTGTAAAAGTGGTTTTTATGTGTGCTAGTGTGTTTGTATATGTAAGTGTGTTTGTATGTGTGCAAGTGTATTTATATGTTGGTAAAAATGTTTTCTAGTGTGTTTGTATGTGTGTAAGTGTGCTTGTATGTGTATACATGTACGTATGTGTGTTAGCCTGTGTGTTTGTATATGTGTAAGTGTGTTTGTATATGCATACGTATACACGCGTGTGTACCTGTGTTCATCCACAATACATTCACACAAGTACATCCTACCCACGATCCACCACACACACCCACCATCCTTACACACACCTGCTACCACCTTTGCCCCAAGAAGCTCCATACGGAACACATTGAGAGCCTGACGCTCCACGTCTTCTGCGCCCATGTACACAGTCAGATCCAGCCCTAGCAACGCGCACGCGGTTGCCGTGGCAACGCCATGCTGACCTGCACCGGTCTCAGCGATAATCCTGGGTTTGCCTGGAAAGGGATTGGCAGAGGGGTGGATTAGACGGCGTAGGGTTTAGGGTTTGGAGTTTAGGGTGGTGTGGAGATGGATAATTGTAGATGGCGATCTGAGATAAAAGAGTCGGGAGACTGCACAAACTTGCGGCTTTCCGCGTGTATGTATTACAAGTATGAATAATAAATCAAATATATATAGTATATGTAGCATTTCAAATTAC